TTTAGATTAATCTAAAAATTTCTTAGTTTTCTCTAGTAACTTTTTGAATTTTTAAACTTAGAAATGTGTGTATTCCAGAACATTTCTGATATCAATTTAAAAATCTTAAAACTTTATTCTTGGTATTTTATGTTTTTATTACATTTTTTCTTAGTATGGCCTCTCTGTCATACTTTTGAAATTGATAAATAAAAAGCTAAATATTTTTATGGATAATCTCAGACTGGGCCACCAGTTTGTCATTGCAGACAATAAAGATGTAAGTAGTTACATTTACTCAATCACAACTACGCTGTACTTTTTTACTTTACTCTGAATATTTTTGTTATTAGAGATGCGCCTGAACATGTAAGGCGAGGAGGAAGCTGCCGCAGTATGACTTCATTTCTGTGAATTCTGCTCGTTGAGAACTTCCAGGGACGACTGGACGACTGAACTCAATAATTTATGCTCCATGTTGCTGCGGCGATCTTCTGAGGAGCAGCTTCTCATGACATCCACTGGAAAACAAGAGCTAACAGGAGCGGGAATCCACATTCCTGAGGATGGCCTTGCTGGCGGAGGCTCTCCTTCACATCCTGGTGAGGAATGTCAGATTCAGCCTTTGTCCACACACTGACACCCAGACTAATAACCAGGATAAATATGACCTCAGAGGTGCTGCTGTGACACCCTGAGGCCTTTTCTGACCAAACATCTGGCCCTTTAAGAACAAACTGATTACTTCCTGAAAGATTATTAGCTTCTTCACAAATTCTTCACTTGTTTCTTCATATATATATGTATGTATTGTTGTGAAGTTTGTCAAGATTGGTTCATTTATTATTCAAATTCATTTTGTTTAGTCAAAAAGCTATTTTCTGCTGACAATTATTGGTATATCGGTTTTGTCATGGTGCTTTTGGCAGTTGGTGGTTACCATAGTAACGCCATGAGACCTTCACTGACCCATTTCAGGAGTTCGAATTACCATCATCGCGCTCATTTGGGAAGTGGCTCTTTAAAAACAAACTGATTAGTAGATTATAAAACTTTCACTTTTTTCTAATATATTTCCCAAGTTTGGTAGTAAGTAGTTACATTTACTCTATTACATTTATGTGAGTAAAAGTACAACTACGCTGTACTTTGTACTTTTATTCTGAAGACACTGAGCATAACTTCTTTCTTCCTGAAATGTAAACAAAAATGGAGTGCCATCAGATTTTGTAGGAGTCTGATGCCATTTGTCTTTTGTCATTAGTAAAACACAAACCATTAGCCTTAGACATGCTCATTTGTTTTGATTCTATATTTACCCAGAATGCCCTGCGCTATAGTTCGCTTTGTGCTTTTGGAGCGATGTACAGTCTGCTTGCATTCAAACCGCATCAGAAGTTTGAATGCAAGGGTTCCTGAAGTGAACTCAACCTCCAGTGAAACAGATTATGGCTTCAGCATGTTAAACTTTACATCAGTTATCCTCACCCTTCCTGGTTCTTTTGTTTTCTGCCCTCCTGCACATTTCATATTAAACATGAAGCTGAATTTGATCTCAAAGCAGAGAGGAAACTGTATACTTTATCTCTCAACACTGCAGTGTCCAGACCAAAAATGACATTCTGTGTCCTTCATTCTCCCTGTTCACTCTCAGGTTGTAGAAAAACAAGAAGACTGCGTCCTCATGTTGTTTTTTCAGCAACATTTTATTTTAAAATTACATAACAGCTGCTTTCCAGTTGTCTTTGTTTAAATAGCATTTTTTTTTAACTTGGGGCGTTTTGGATGCTTCCCAACTTTGCAGAAATGTCGTTAAATGTTTGTGTTGAGCTGAAGGTTGGAGTCAGGGTGAGGTTTGTACCGTTGGCCTGCAAAGTGCTGACCCAGTTCTCCTGCTCTGGTTGGCATCACCTGCAAACGGCGGCCGGCTGCACAGAGACGCTTTCACTGTGCCGCAAACACTCGCTGGCCAAGTCTGTGAAACGTGACTGTGTTTGAAGTGATGAGTGAGCGAGGCCGCAGAAACAAGCTGCAGGATTTCTGCTGCTCCAAGTGTGTGTGTGTGTGTGTGTGTGTGTGTGTGTGTGTGTGTGTGTGTGTGTGTTTGTGTGTGTGTGTGTGTGTGTGTGAGGCAGACGTCAGGAGCAGGACTCTATCCAGAGCTTTTTTCCAAAATAAACACTCAAGCGCGTATGCTAAAACTAACAAATGTTAAAAATAAGCCTCTTTCTACGTCATGTGTCTTTGAGACTCAGATGGAGAAAGTATCTCTGTGGAAAATTTTCTTTTTTCTTTGTATGTGTGTGAATACATTTATAGTGATCTTTGCCTCCATAAAACATGTAAAAAAAGTTTAATTGGACCCTTTCTTTCAACATTTTTTTTGTCAGGATGCACATAACTTATTTACTGCAACATAGAAAAATCTTTTTCTGTCATTTACCTGCAGCTCCTGTTTTTACAGAATATCTAATTTAAGGATAGCTTTATCTTGCTAACGAAGTATTTAGTTTACAAGCTAACTGTTCAGCTCCTGGTTAAACATTTAATTTGGAAAATAAATTTACTTTGAAAATTAACTATATAGTTTGGAAAATCAAAGTTTAAGCTCATGGTTGGGTGCTAGGGCATTCATCCATGGGCCCGTCATGTGAGTTAAAAAATGTTTAAGATTGACGGGAAATTTAAAAATATCACTTCATAATTATCTGTTATTGGAAGATTGGAAGATTAATATCTGAACACAAACTATAAAGTCTTAAAAAAATGCAAACATTTTTCAAAATGTAATTAAATAAGCAATATAAGCCTGGTGGCCCACCAGGCTTATAATACACAGGAGGAAACCCTGGAAAATAAATATTTACTTTGGTAATATTTAATTGAAAGCTAAATATTTTGCAGCTAAATATTGAGATTAAATAAATAATTACTAATTTATTTATTAATTTAGTAATTACATTAATAATTTTATTTGTTAATTTAAATAAATAATTGAAACTATTTTAATTATTCTAGTTAAAATAATTAAAATAATACATGCTGATGTTTCAGTATCTACAGAGCTAACACTCTGCTGATTTAGTAATAATTATTTATTATTACTAAATAATTACTAAATTAATTATTGAGTAAATTATTATTTAGTAATTATTAGGCTGTTGGCAGGAAAGATCTCCTCTAGCAGTCTGTATCAAATTTGAAGAAGCCTCTGACTGAACACACTCTTGAACATTTAGATAAATAATTAATTTAGCTAAATATGTAATTTGCAAGCTCAGTATTTAGCTTTTAAGCTAAATATTTTGCTATGACATTTATAAATGTATAATACTTTTTTTCTGACAAGCTTAATAAAGAAAATGTTACTCTTATTATTTTATTCATTTATTGCAGTGTAACCTTCCAAACGGCATTCTTTAAAATACTACTAAATTATTCTCTCGATATTTTGATATTGATTTTATGAAGACGTTTCATTCAAACCTGTTGATGAAATGATGACTGAGAGGAAGCGTTGAGTCAGCTGGGATCAGATTATATCTTCACTTCATGATCATATCTTCACTTAATGTTAACGCAGATTAAAGCGCTCCAGATTGTGCTTTGATGAGACAGCAGGGCTGTGAGTCTGTCGGGTTTCAGATGACGACACCAGGAACACGACAAGATCCTCCAAGAATCTCTGAAACTGTACCTGCAGCTAAACTAGACGGGTCAAGTTTCTCTAGTGTTCGAGCATCTATAGGGCTAACTCTGCTAATTTACTGACATTTACACACACATTTTTTCTGTGCAGACATAGATTACTTTAATATAATAATGTGGAAAAAGTGTGAATATTTTCTGGATGGATTGTAGCTCCAGAATATTTCCCCAAACTCTTAGGAATCATTAAGATGTTTTGGGAAAAGATGAAATTAAACTTTTGTTTTGTGATTTTATTACTGAATCATGAACTTTGACCTTAACAGATGTGAGTGCTTTAGATGTTGTTCAGGGTTATTTTTGGCGTTATGGGTGAATAATTTCATTTATTTATTTAAAAAACTCAGTTTTTAAAAACAAAAAATAAAATTAATTAATAAGAGAAAACAAATGCATACATAACCAAGAACAAAAATAATTAGCTTACTACCTTTATGTTTGAAAAGGAGTAGAAAGAAGTAAACACTTATTTAATCTTACCCCTTACTATATATATATATATATTCAATAATTAGCAGAAATCTGTAGTTAAAACCATGTTTATATGTTAAATTATGTTACACAGGCTAGAGCTACAAAGTACAGCATAGTAAAAGTACTATTTTATACTAGTAAAAATTATTATAAACTGAATCTCATAAGACAAGAAAATCTGAATTCATAATAATGATATGAAAATTGTAAATAACTCCTTATCAATTTACACCCTGTAAATTCTTTATAAGACAACAACAACAGAAGATTAAATTAATGATAGTAAAATAACATTAATCTAGTAGTAATGGTAATGGTAGCACAGAATTATTGCATATATAGGAGTAATTTGTGGAAGATGTTCTCTGCTGAATATTTCTATAAATGAGGTGCAGCTCTGGGCGTTTTCCTCTCTGAGTTGAGCCACACATGAACCTCTGTCCTTCAAGGCCGGTGGGAGTTGACACATTGGAGGAAAAGAAGAAGCCTTGTTTGAAAGGACTCAGACGTTTCTGTGCGGTTTCACACAGAGCTTATGTTGTTTACGTCAAACTCATAAATGCAGACATCAAATATTTCCTTCCTTCCTCCCCTGAATTCGTCTCTAAGGTTTCAGCTGTGTTTTGCCTCGGTTAACTACTGTTTACCCTCCGCTGCTGCAGTCATTGAAGTGCATGTTTTAGCTGCACAAGGTGCGCTCAGGCCATAATTACTGGAGCAGGTATCGGG